TTAGTTTAAGTTGCATGCATATCAAGCTTACAAGGAATCTTGTTATATATATAGTGTGATGGTAGTTCCTCTTACTGCTTGAACAGGCTGTCATCACATTTGGTTCTCTCAATAACTGATTTTTTTGGTTAAAATTTTTTCCCAGAACCAAGTAAACAAACACACTAATTTCGCACTTCCTCTTCTAATTATACATGCATTTCCCAAAACCGTTCCTCAATAAACTCACAGTATGCAACCAAACCAAGCATAGCCTAAAACTTTGGTCATGGTTTTAAGAATTCAACATATTTTGCATTTGTGTATTCCACTATTTATTTCCCCTTGTCAAATTATCTTCGCTGGATATACTTCCAACAATCCAAGATTTGGAAAATTCCAAATCCAGACAGTGTATCACCGGAATCAACAACTGAATCACAGTTCGAACATGTAATAAGATAAGAATAAACTTCACACGGCCGTTCATGTTTGATGTCATTATGAATTTTGTCTAAGCAAATAAACGACGGAAAAGAAAAAAAAATCAGATTTTTCAAGCATCACAGCCACAAATATAACGGAAATATAACAACATGCAACACCAAGCCAAGTTGCAAAAGCTTGTACATCACAACAATGGAAAACCAAATGAGCCAAACAATTAATATGGAGCAGCTTCTTCAGCATCAGTAGGAATCGGCACCTGGGGAAAATTATTGCCACCTCTCAAACGGGATGATATTTTCTCAATGGCCGAGTTGAGTTGGCTGATTTTTTCATTAAGTGTGTGCCTTATCTGAATTTTTTATAATGACAAGGAATATGAATGTGGTTAATGAAACTAAATAAGCTCTCACGCACACGTAAGTGTTGTAAAGTGTCACCTCGAAACCTTCATCATAGTAAATTGGTCCTCTCGGCCTTATGAAGCCATATTCATCTTCATTAAGCAAGTATCTTCGAATCTAATAACACATGAACAGATGGGAGTAAATAAATTAATCAAGAAGCATACAACAGAATTGTGTTGACAAGCAAGCAAATTGTTGGAAGGTTCTGCAACATCAAATATTATCAGTTTCAGAGAAATTTTCACATCATGATTGTAATGAGAATCCCACTTCCTCCATCCTATTGTTTTTTCCGCGTAATCATTTCATAAATATTGATTTGATGCCTCATAGCAATCTCATAGATATATACAGTAAGGGCCAAGAAAAAGGAGTTTTCAGAAGTATATATTGGACAGTTCAAGGTGAAAATGAGAGAATAATAGAATCATTTATTCCCACCTGTGGAGCAAACATGGTTGCAAGTGTTCCAAATACTGCACCTCCGAAAAGGAAACCAGCTACAAAATCAGCACCACTTCCACTGCTACGGTCACTACATGTTGCATGGAAAAGATTTAGAAATGTATCAAGACAATCAAACTTAAACAACAATTTGGAAATTATTATTAATCTACAGCAGATAATCCAATTTCAATTATTAATAACTTGATGCCAACCCGCTTCATTTATCTAGCTCATCTAACACAAAAGATGTGAAAAAAATCCACTCAAGTAATAAGAATCACAAAGATAATAAAGGGAGGAGATAAGAACTGTTATCCCATATTCACTAGTCTATGCAGTGAATACAAGCACAATTCCGTCGCAAGGACAAAGGGTAAGTTTAAGTTCATCAATAATACTGTACTTTGCCAAATGCAGGATAATAACATTCATGTCAGCACAACTAGAACCTTTTTTAGAACAATCTGATAAAGATACATACATCATGAGAGAGTTCATCAGTGATAACTTGAGTTCAGCTCACATATCATTAAATATGTTAATCGCTCTTAAATATTGAGATGGAGAACCTCAACATTTTTCCTCATGAGTGCACTAGCTGTGGGCAAATATTTTAGAATCCGTATAAATGGACCAATCATAATAAGCTAGGATAAGCAACTAGAATCTATAACGAGACACCTATAGCAAGACAGCCATCTAGTTATTTATGATTCCCGATGACAATAAGAATCCTTGAAATTCAAATTAGGAAACCATAAAGTTCTCCTATGGACAAGGAACCACAGGTGAAACTTGAAGAAAAACAGAAACATAACAGAATGCTGAATGGAGTTTTTTAAAATTTAAAATCTAAAAGATGTATTAACTATCAACTTGGGACCTAAAAAGACTATTTTTATCAATTCACATACTGAAAGATATAATACTATCAATTGGGCCCAATTTTTAATACATATACGAATAATTTAACAATAAAGTAAATTAATAAGGAAGATAAAATAAAAACAAGGCAATTGGGAGCATTTCAGAACAATTTTCCACCCTAATTCACGAAAACTAATTCTTTATTCTGCTTCAAATCTCAGCCAAAAATCTGAAAGGGGAGTCAACCGCAAATTACAAACCCTCTTTCCCGTATACCTCTGACACGCAAACGTCTCATTGGACTCAGAGCTAGTCAAACAAGGATTCCGGTGAACATCATACCAGGCAGGTTGATGGTCGAGCGCTGTGATTTTGGCTTTGGGTCGGTGGCCGCTAAGTCATGGGTTTCAACTCATTATTTTACTTAGGTTTTAGGTGGGATCTGAGTTGCTTGCTTGGGCAAAATTTTGGCTTGAGTGAGAAAATTCAAATGTGGTGACAAACAAGAGTCCTAGTTGTTGATGTTGTCATACTACGCCGAGTTCAGAAACAGGGAAAAAGGAAAAACACGAAATTGATTTAGACCTTGCTAAAGAAAAAGATACCAGACAAGATGAAGAAGAGGGGTTCTTCCCTCACCTATTGTTAATTTACTCTCTTTTTTTTTTCTTTNCGGCATGCTTGTGGAGGTTAATCAAACTAATGTTTTGTAATTCTTGACAGTGTTAAATTGTTGAGCCCTGAATGATAGCTTAATATTTTTCAGGTCTTGGAATGATAAGAATTTTCTTTCGCGTTCTAAATTGATAATTTACACATCTTTCAGGTCCTAGACCCAAAAAACTCCCCTATAGAATAATGTGTTCTTTAAACACAAATTCAGTAGAAAAATTCTTATGGAGTGGCTATCTTCATGAGCATACAAAATCCTTCTATGCTTCGCAGCATGGATGCCAGCACCCGCATGATATAAACCAATACAGCTCGAGGGCACGCATACGCACAGATGATACAAACATTACTTGATTGGATACGACAAGCAATCCATAAAGGTGAGGAGTCTCCGAGAGGTCTAAGAAGCATGTAAAATGCCTGGAATAAAGGACCCCAAATGCATATAAAACACTACGAAAGCGTAGGGCATCAGAAATGCATAGGGCACATTCTTACAGCATGCAGAAAGCGTGCTCAACCTTGAAGAGAACTCAAGAGTATGCCAGAATGATCTGGAAAATCCAAACGCCATATGGAGTAGTGTAGAACCTTTTAGAATGTTATGCACATGTGGAGCATCGGAGAACTCTCCAAAAATCTTGTATATAGTGGTGGTTGTAGGAGATGTGTACATAAGGCAATAAATATTCTGTGACATTCATAACTAGCGAATATGGGATGTATCTAACACATGGCATATTGCCGGTGATTGGGAGCTCTGATAGTTGGATTCTTCAAGAGAAAGACTGTATATATATTTTCATAGAAATCCAATGACAAGATCTTTAGTAGTATTCAGTTAAACTCTCATATAAATAGCATTTTTTATTTACTCAGTAAGACTTTAATGAGTATTCTGGCTAATGTTATGTTTTAACTTAGTCCACACTTTAGTACACGACAAATGTGTTGACTTACCGACTTACTTAGCCATGGTTATTTCGTGATCTTTCAAATAGCTAGATTTAGTCCACACTTTAGTACACAACATATGCGTTGACTTAGTTACAAACATAATTGTAGGTGTAAAGGATCAGAAAAGAGATAATACGTAATTTTATTGATGATATTATAATAAGCATGAACAAGAAGTATGAAACTTCTACCCAGCACGAAATTGCCCAGTAGTCAATGCTATTACAAAATGAATCTCTTCATACCTATTCTATTGACCACTCTTTCTTATATAGTAAATTATAGCTAATATAAAACGGTTATCCACATCCACATAAAAGGTTTGGCATTTACTTTAAATAGTATGTGTAATATTCTATAGAATATAATCCTTGTGCATCTAAATTAGTTTATTTGCTTTCTTTAGTTGTTTCCCTAGATTAGTTGTGAATATATTGTAAGGCCATAATTAGTTTCCTTGTACTCTTTTATTTAAGTAATATAATAGCATCAGAAAGAAAAAAACTATCACTTCAACAGCACCAAACAAGACCGTGTTCTTTTGTGTTCGTGTGATTGTGTCTTGACCTTTGATCTCGCCGGTAATCGGGTGTTGTCTCTCTGGAGAAGTTCTAATAAGTGGCACCAGAGCTACTCGTACCTGGACCATTAGTGGGAAGAAGAGTGTAAGGCTCCTCAAAGGATCGGCACTGTGACCAACGAGTGATCCGTTAGGTGAGCGGCAAGAGTAGCTATCCTGTTCTCACCAACACCAATTAAGCGGCAGGAGTAGCTACCCTGTTCTCACCAACACCAATTACTCCAACTAGTCGTTTCATTCCATTCCTGATGAAGGTCAAGTTGAAGGCCAAGGCTCTCTGGAGCATGATCGAGGATGGCGGCGTCGATCCACAAGAGGAGATGATGGCACTTGACGCCTTGTGCGGCGCAGTGCCACCAGAGATGGTGTCGACGGTCGCTAAGGAGACTGATGTAGCACTTAGCATAGCTTAATAGACCGTCTTGAGCAGGCAGCTCAGTAGACTGGTCAAGAAGAGCATCAGTCTATCTAGGAAGTAACCCAGTCAAAGAAGCTCGCACTTGAGCTCTGACCGACTTGAAGAAGACGACCTGAGGGTACCAATCTCTAGGAGCTCGGCAATATAGCTGACGGACGCTAAATTGACACCTCAAGGTATCGAGGTCGTCGGATTTGAGGTCAGGTTAGACCTTAGAGGTTGACCTCGGATAAGACACAACAGGTAGGTTAGGAGGTTGTGGTTACGGCCTAGGTACCTAAGGGTTGTACCGTAAGAGAGAAAAAAAACTTAGTAAGAAGGAAAGTATCACTTGCTCAAAACAACTTGTCTAGATAGAGACGTGGTAAGTTAAGAATTGTGTCGGTTAGATCTCTTTCTTCACAAGGACTCTCTAACGCAACAAATAGTTACTCTATATAACGGTGTCGGGTTTTTCTTCATTAACACATCGCATTTTACGTCTTAGATTACATATTTTCGTATATAGTTGTTGAGCAAGTTCTGACTTGAGCGTTGGAGGTTTTTCCACGGGGACCCCCTCCCAGCATATTACAGGTCACCAAAGCTCAAAAGACGAAGAAGGTTCACAACATAGGCGGTTCAACCCGGTTCGTGACAAAAGTGACGAAACAGAGACGGTGGAGGTTTGGGACGCGATCTCGACCGTTAGGGTTGAGGACGACCGCGTGCGGAGGTCGATGGTGCAACAGTTTTGTCGAGAAGTAAGCGTTGCGCCTGAATGGCATGGCGGTGCACCTTGGCCTGCTGGACGCGGAAATGACGGAGAGCACTATCCTCGCGAAGACACTACTATGTACCCTGGTGCCTCGATTCAAGCAAATCTCAATCGCAATCAAGACACGTTGCACGTGACAAACATGACGGTCGCCGAACTGATTGGGCGACTGAAGGAGGCGAAGGAGTGGTATAAAGAAGCCCCGTCGTTGCAGCACAAAGGGAAAATGTACCTCACGAAAGAGAAATGGGATGCGCGGCGGAAGAAGCGCCAGGCAGAGTTCCACTTTGGCTGCAACACAAAGATGGCGGTGGTGCAAAAAGAGGAGGTGGCAAACGCAGTCGTGGGCGTGGAGGTCTATCGTCTGGCGGGCAGTCAATTCACACCCGGCCCACTGGAGACGAATGCAGGGGCTGCGGAAGATGGGTCATTGAGCCCGCGTGAGTCGGTTGAAGCCCAAGAGGGAACAGACCAATGTGATGCAAGATGAGAAGGCAGCGCTCGTGAAGTCCTCACCTTTTATATCCCCATTGTCGCCACCAACATCCAAGGAAGCATCGCCGGTCGGGGCGCCGCGGCTGGCCCCGACAACACTCCAAGGACACTGAAGTTGTGCCACTAGGAGTGAAGCAACATCATGGACACAGCAGATCTGGAGCAGTGTTAATGGAATCAAGCACCCCAATCGAGATCCGCGAGGAGAAAGTATTTCCACCAATTAGACGAGGAGTAGGAGGCGCACACCTGGGTCATGGACACCGACGCCACCAACCAGATATACAAATCCATGGCCGCGTTCTTGAAGCAAGACACGGTGGTGCTCGGCACAATACGGTTTGGCGACGACTCAGTGGCACAGACCGAGGGTCGGGGCACCGTCGTGTTCACATGTAAGAACGGCGAGCTTCGATCGTTCTCCGGCATATACTTCATCCCCCGGATGATCATCGTCTGTCGGCTACAAGGTCAACAACGACAACATGGAGGGTAAGGGAGCCCTACGGACAGCTGTTAGTGAAGGTGATGCGGGAGTCCAACCGCATGTATGAGCTTTGCATCAAGTGGCAGCCATCGTGCTTGGCAATGCGCGACGATATGGCATGGCGTTGGCATGAGCGCTTCGGCGTCATGTTAACATGGCGACGCTCATGAAGCTGACTTGAGAAGAGTTGGTGAGTGTTCCTGCCAGAGATTGGGCAGGTCGATAAGTTCAACGCATGCTAAACTGGGAAGCAAAAGCGGACTTCATTCTCGATACAGCCAATACAGCCAGAGTACCATGCACGGCAACGTCTCGAGCTGTTGCATGGTGCCACCACGCCGGCGACTCCCAGAGGTAACAAGTACTTTTGTTGATGGTGGACGAACTCAAAAGATACATGTGGGTAGCCGCGATTCCCTTAAAAGATCGTGTCGCGGCTGCCATTAAGGAGATTCAGCTGTCGACGGAAGGTGAGTCCAACGTCGAGCTGGAGGCACTCCGCACCTATCGCGGGGACGATTTCACCATGACCGAGTTTGGGGACTATTGCACGGCTGAGGGTGTGCACCGTCAGCACACGGCGCCTTACAGCCCGCAACAGTCGCAAAACGCTGAAATGGCACGATGGTGGCAATGGCAAGGAGCATGCTCAAGGCAAAGGGCCTGCCTAGATGGTTCCGGGGTGAGGCAGTCAGCACCACTGTGTATGTGTTGAACAGGTGCCCGACCAAGAGCGTGGAAGGGATGACACCGTTCGAGGCGTGGCACGGGAGAAAACTAGTTGTGCACCATCTCAGAACGTTCGGCTGCATCGTCTACATGCGCAACACGACACCGCACCTAAAGAAGCTGGAGGACTACACTGCAAGATGACCTTCATCGGCTACGAGCACGACACCAAGGCGTACCAAGCCTATGATCCCGTCACGAGGTGCGTCCACGTGACGTGTGACGTGGTGTTCGACGAGCAAGCTTAGTGGGACTGGGGCACCGGTGCCGACGTGTTCACAGTTAAGTACACCACCATAGTCCAAGCCGCACATGAGGCTGATGACACCGCAGAGGCACCTGGGGGAGAAGCGCCAAGAGAGCCGCCACCTCACGGGGCGCAGGGGGCAAACTGGAGCCCGATTCACCGAACGACATCGACGATGACAACGTGGATGCTGACCACGAGGACGACGCGCCTCTCCATTTTTGCAGCTCGACGACATAATCGGGTCGGCTTCGCACAGCGTGCGCTGGTGATGGAGGAGTTGTACGTAGTGAGCACCAATGAGCCTGCCTCATTCGTAAAGGCAGAGCGCAGATGACGATGATGGAGGAGATGGAGTCCGAGAACGGCACATGGTGCCACGCCGACCTCCCACTAGAAGCACAAGGCGCGCCTCGTGGTGAAGGGCTACGCACAACGGCACGACATTGACTACAACGAGGTGTTCATGGCGGTTGCTAGGCTGGACTCAGTGCGCCTCCTCATCGACCTTACGGCGCATAAAGGGTAAGAGGTACACCACATGGACATCAAATCGACGTTCTTAAACGGCGACCTGTAGGAGGAAGTCTACATTGAGCAGTCGTTCAGCTTCGTCATTGCCGGCAATGAGCACAAGGTGCTCAAACTTTGGCAGGTGTTATACGGTCTGCATCAAGCGCGCGGGACTAGAACGCGAAGCTGGACGACACGCTGATGTCGCTCGACTTCAAGTGGAGCAAGTCGGAGCACGCCATCTATGTCAAGCAGAATGGCAACTTCACTAGTGGTCGGAGTTTATGTCGATAATCTCGTAATTACCGGCTCGAGCTACGGCGTCATCAAGTCTTTCAAGGAACGAGATGGCGGATGCCTTCAAGATGAGCGACCTCGGCCTACTTCACCACTACCTCGGCATTTAAGTGAAGCAGAACGCGAGGGGAATCTCGCTCAACCAGGGCGCCTACGCTGGCAAGATTCTGGAGAAAAGTAAAGATTCTAAAGAAGATCAGCATGGCTGGGTGCAATCCCTTCCAGGTGCCTATGGAGGCGCTGAAGTTAAACAAATTCAGCTTAGAGCCATACGACGTACAGGAGCATCGTCGGGAGCTTGAGGTACTTGGTTAAAACTTGCCCCGATCTAGATATTGTTGTTGGCTATGTTAGTCGGTTTTTGGAGAACCCACATGAGGATCACTGCCGTGAAGCACATTTTGCACTATGTGCCAAGAACCCAGAATTGGGGACTCTGGTTTGCCAAGAAGGAGGAGAATGAAGCTCACTTTACGGGTTCAGTGACAGCGATTATGCTGCGGATGTTGATACTAGCAAGAGCTTAGTTTCATTTTACGGGTTCAGTGACGGCGATTATGCTGCAAATGTTGATGCTAGCAAGAGCATAACAAGGATATGATTTTCTTCCTCAGCAGCAGCCCGATCACTGGCAATTCATGAAGCATAAGGAGGTGGCAGTCAAACTGCGGTGGAATACATAGCAGCTGCAAACGCTGTTAGTCAAGCATAGTGGCTTGCTCAAGTACTGGCTGAGGTGCACGGATCAGCAACAAGAGCGCCTATGCTGAGGGTGGACAACAAGTCTGTCATTGGCTTAATGAAGAACCCAATACTCCATGTACACAGCAAGCATATTCGAGTGAAATATCAATTTGTCCGAGAATCAGTAGAGGAAGGTTTGATTAATGTCAAGTTCATTAGGAGCGAAGAGCAAGTGGGCGACATTCTCACGAAGCCGCTTGGGATGACCAAGTTCCATGATTTGCGTTCTATGATTGGCTGGATCAATGTTAGTAATGTACACAAGGCTTAAAAGGAGATTGTAGGAAATATTCCATGTGCAGCTAAATTAGTTTATTTTTTTTTCTTAATTGCTTCCCTAAATTAATTGTGAATATCGGCATGATAGTAAGGCTATAATTAGTTTCCTTGTAATATTTTATTTAAGCAATAGAATAGCATCACCAAAGGAGTGTTCGTGTGAGTTTTTCTTGTGTCTTGACGTTTGATCTCGCCGGCAACCGAGTGTTGTATCTCTGGCAAAGTTCTAACATGAACAAGTATGGAACTTCAAGTTGCCCAACAAAAAACTTGATCCTATGACAAAATAAATCTCTTCATACCTATTCTATTTACCAGTCTACCTTATATACTAAACTACAAGGGGAAAAAATAATAGCATGTAAGGGATAACAAAACAGTCATAATCCCTCAAATTATGCACCAATTTAAGATCCAAAAAATCAGCATAAGATATTCTAAGACTGATAGACACACATGATCATTTGTAGTGATTATTATTTCGACGAAATTATTAAACACACATACATACATACATATATATATAGAGACACACGCATATGAATATTATAGATTATGAAATCTTATAATGTTGGCAAACATATATAGTAGGACTATTTGAATCAATATTTTAAGGAAACTTATTTGAATCACAATCTTATCAATATTGATGTGTTAGAGAAAAGAATCAAGAAACAAAAGGAAGAGTTTTATTATTAACTACATGAATGCTTTGCAAGATGATCAACAGGAAAAAGCTAAGGTAAAGACCAACAGGAATAAACTCCCTGTCCAAGGAACTAATATAGGAATAATGATTTCTGATGCCTTCCTCATCTAAGGAGGCTTTATTTATAATTAGCTATACTACTATATATTAGGTAAGATTCTCTTCCATGATTGGTGCTATTTTGATCCATAAAATCAGCCCCTTCAATTTAAATCTGATCTGACTGATTCCTTGGATTTGGCCTGCGACTATAAACAATCCACGATTTTTGCCCATGACATGCTTCTTTTCTATCATTGCCACCCCCTAAAGAATTGGCCTTGTCCTCAAGGCTGCAGTTTGGAAACTGCCCCATAAAATCCGAAAGATCAACCCAAGTTGCTTCCTCCGCAGGCCGACCTTCCCACTGAACCAAGACCTGCTCCCTGCCGAGCTGCTTTCGAGCATCTTGTGGGGTGTAACTTGTTTCTTCTACCGCCAAGGCTTCAGGTTTTACCTTGGTGACGTCATGCTACCCGTTAAGTTTCTTAAGCTGGGAGATGTGAAAAATTGGGTGTATACGTGCCCCATCGGGTAATTCTAACTTGTAAACCACGGGGCTCAACTTTCGAAGAATGCGATATGGGTCATAATATCTTGCAGCCAGCTTCTGATTGACTCGATTCGCAATAGAGGTCTGGCGATGGGGCCGAAGTTTCCAAAGAACTTGATCTCCCTCATCAAATTCTAAAGGTCGTCTCTTGCGATTGGCACTGTTAATCACCCGCTATTGCGGTCTAGTGAGGTTAAAGTGCAGCTGCTTGATCAATTCTGCCCTATCATTATGCTCCTCCGCAACGGCTGCAACCTTGAATTCCCCTGGCATAAATTGATGCAAAGTGGGTGGTGGCCTGCCATACACATATTCAAATGGAGTTCGGCCTGTCGCCGAATGAAAGCTGCTATTAAACCAATATTCAGCCCAATGCAACCAACGACCCCATTGCTTGGGTTGTTCTGAAGCGAAACATCTCAAGTATTGCTCCATGCAACGATTTGTTACTTCAGACTGTCCGTCAATTTGCAGGTGGTATTGCGGGTGGTAGGTTGTGCTCATGCGAAGTTTGGTGCCCATTTTAGTGAAAAATTCCCTCCAGAAATTGCTCAAGAAAATTGGGTCTCGATCACTGACGATGGATCGTGGGACTCCGTGTAGACGTACAATTTCTTTAGCAAACAATTCGGCTAAGGTTCGGGCGGTGAAAGGATGTCGAAGACCAATGAAATGGGCATATTTGCTAAGTCGATCGACTACTACCCAGATGCAATCAAACCCATTTGATCGCGGTAAACCCGTGATGAAGTCCATTGATATATCTTCCCAGATGTTATTAGGAATAGGGAGCGGGTTGAGCAATCCAGCTGGTGATAACGTTTCATACTTATTCCTTTGGAAAATTAGGCACTCAGCAACATATTTTTGTACTTGTTTCATCATGCCTCGCCAATAATTGCTAGAAGCCAATCGCCGATATGTACGGTACGCACCTGGCCTCCTGTTGGAGTGGAATGAAACTCGTCTAAGAGTTGTTGCACCCATGGTGAAGTAGCAGGAATGACGATTCGACCTTTGTAAAATAGTCTTCCATGAACGAGCTGATATGGTGGCTGGCTATTTGGATTCAGACGAAGTTGGTCGATGATTGCCCGTAACTCTGCATCCTCCAGGACGGCTGAATCAAGTTTATCCTAGTCAATCCATGTGGGAACAGAAATGGCTGCCAAATCCTTGTCCTAAATTGTCTGGATAAACCATCTGCTGCTTTATTTGTTACACCCGGTTTGTAGGTGACCTCAAAATCATAACCCATGAGTTTTGCCAACCAATTTTGCTGAGAAGGAGTTGTAATTCGTTGTTGCAAAATGTACTTTAGGCTCCGATGGTCAGTGCGAATTTCAAATCTTCTGCCGAGTAAATAAGGCCGCCAATGCTGAATTGCCAAAACCAATGCCATTAACTCTTTTTCGTATGCCGATTTGGCCAACACTCTCCCCGAGAGTGCTTTGCTATAATATGCAATAGGCCGCTGCTCTTGCATCAGGACTGCTCCCACACCTTCGCCTGAAGCATCACATCCAATCACAAAACTTTTATTGAAGTTAGGCATTACCAGCACTGGAGAAGAGGTGATGGCGTTTTTTAATTTTTCAAAAGTGTCCTGTGCTCGCTCTGTCCATTTGAAGTCCCCAACCTCCTTTTTAAGTAATTCTGCGAGAGGTCTTGCGATCTGGCCATATTCTTTAATAAACCGCCTATAATATCCCGTGAGGCCTAGAAATCCCCGTACGCCTTTACCTGACTTAGGTTGCGGCCACCTAATAACACTGGATATTTTACTTGGATCCATTGACACGCCAGATCTTGAGACAACATGTCCCAAATACTCAACGGATGTCTTCCCGAAATGACACTTCTTTTTATTAGCCTTAAGTTGATTGCCGAGCAAAACATTGAAGACTATTTGAAGGTTTTGTATATGCGCCTCCCATGTTTTGCTGTAAACGAGGATATCGTCAAAGAAAACAAGCACAAATTTCCTCAAATACGGACGGAAGATATCGTTCATGAGGCCTTGAAACGTGGCTGGGGCATTTGTCAACCCAAATGGCATGACCAAGAATTCATAGTGGCCGGAATGTGTTTGAAATGCTGTCTTGGCGATGTCTGAGGGATGGACCCGAATTTGGTGATACCCTGCTTTGAGGTCCAACTTGGAGAAAAAAGCGGCTCCATGGAGTTCATCAAGCATATCATTAATCATGGGAATCGGGTACTTATCGGGAACAGTGGCCTTGTTTAGTTCACGATACAACAACAACAACAACAACATACCCAGTATATTCCCAACAGGTTGGGGTCTGGGGGGTCAGTTGTACGCAAACCTTACCCTTGTAATTATACAACGAGGCTGTTTCCGTAGCGACCCAAGGTGCATTGCGCCGTTTGATATATTTTTTCTTTTCTAGAAACTTCACTAATAGAAGAAGCACTAGAATTTAATTGAGTCATTTTGATCTAGTCCATTATTAGCACAATGCCAGGAGAATTGTCAACAATGACTCTTCCAGCTCCATTTGTAATGGACAAATGTTTAGTTCACGATAGTCGACGCAAAATCGCCAAACTTCCGTCTTTCTTTTTGACAAGTAGAACTGGGCTGGAAAAAGGGCTGGAACTTGGTTGGATTATCCCCGCGAATAGCATTTCATTCACAAGGCGTTCAATTTCATCCTTTTGATGATGGCTATATCGGTAGGGCTTCACATTCACTGGGCGGTTCCCAATTTTATGGTGATGCGATGATCGTGTCTCCTTTCAGGGGGGAGTCCTTGGGGTTCGTCAAAAATTGTACAGTATTGCTGCAATATTAGTTCCAATTCCTGGACCTGAGCGCTTGAGGACTTGAGGGCCGAAGTCTCTGTTGATGAAGTTTCCGTTGATGATGTAATCTGCCAGAGCAAGAGGCCGTATTCGATGTCATCGTCCATCTGTTGCAATGAGCTCAAAGAGATAGGGGCACGTGATAAAGACGGGTCCCCCAACAGACAAATCTCTTCATTATCCTGCAAAAATTCAATACTCATTTTTGTCAAGTTCGCTTTGATATCGCCTAATGTTTGGAGCCATGCCACGCCGAGAATGATGTCAATACCTCCAAGAGGAAATATATAGCAATCTAATGACATCATGATTGATTGAAGTTGAATTGGTAAATTGCTATACTTCCCTGTTGAAGTTGCTCGACTGCCATCTCCTAAACGAACCCCAAAGCGAACTGTCTGCTCTATTGGCTGGGGAATTTTCTGAGCAAGTTTTGTTGAGATGAAGTTGTGGCTTGCCCCACTATCTACCATAATAGTCACTGGTTCACCGTAGACATGACCTGAAAATTTCATTGTTCGCGGTCCATCTATTCCACCTATCGCCGTCAAAGGTAGATCTAGAAAATGGAGTTGAGCTTCATTGATTTCTGCTTGAAGTTGTTGTGATTCTTCTAGTCCGAAGTCGGACATAACATCAGTGTTCTCGTCTTCTGCTGCGATGAGAGCGCGCAATGATTTTTGAGGGCAATCATGCATCGGGTTGTACGGTTGCTTGCAGCAAAAACACAACCCCTTTGCACGCATGTCCAAATATTCTTGATGGGAGTATTGGCGTGCCACTCTACTTTTTTGTGTTGTTGTGTTATGTCGCAGTATTTGTGAAGAGGAGGAACCTGTGCCGCCTTGAAGTAGTCTGAAGTGATCATTGGGCTTGTACTGTGCTGCAGAATTCTTATTTGGGCCGATTGTTGAGGTGTTGTTTAGTTTTGGTGGTTCAAAACGAGATGGATTAATGGGCCTGGATTGGAAGCCCAAACCATACCCAGTAGTAAATCTAATTTAGGAAATCCAATTCTTGCTCAACTGACCGAGCAACTTTCATGGTTGTTCGTAGATCGAGCACATCATATGGGCGCAAGCGGACCCTTATTTCTTCCTTGAGTCCATTTAAGAAAAACCCTAGCTGAAGTTGTGAATCCAGGCCTAGGACTTGGGCTACTCTCGCTCGAAATTCGTTGGCGTAATCATCCAGAGATCCTGTTTGGTGTAAGGCAGCCAAGCGTTCGCTGGGACTTGCTGCTAAGTCCCCGCTGAATTGATCAACGAGTTCTTCCTTCAATTGATGCCAGGTAATCATTGGAGATTGTTGCTGGAGCCATCGAAGCCAATGGAGTGCTGCTCCTTCCATGCATGCAGATGAATGCAGAGGCAACTTTGAAGTTTTCCTTCGTGTGGTGCACCAGAAAAAATTGCTCAGCACGCGCAATCCATCCAATAGGATCGGTTCCATCAAAACACGGAAGATCAATGTGTTTCGATGTGGATTTTAACTCGTCGAAAACATTGGCATGAAGAGCAGATTTGTGGTGGTTGGATGTATTGCTCTCTGAAAAGATGTTCAAAAAGTTGTTGTTGCTGCTACTGTTATTACTCAATAGATCGGTGATCTTGGATATTGCCGTTTCAAGTGCATTGAATCGGCTGTCCATGTTGTTCCGCAAGTTGGTGAGTTCCTCACCTACAGCAACTTGGCTCTTCTCTAACGTTTCAACACGGGATTCCATTCGTATCATTCCTCGCACGGCAGGTCGGACCAATTTGTTAGAGAAAAGAACCAAGAAACAAAAGGAAGAAACAAAAGGAAGAGTTTTATTATTAACTAAATGAATGCTTTGCAAGATGACCAACAGGAAAAAGCTAAGGTAAAGACCAACATGAATAAACTCCCTGTCCCAAGGAACTAATATAGGAATAATGATTTCTGATGCCTTCCTCATCTAAGGAGGCTTTATTTATAATTAGTTATACTACTATATATTAGGTAAGATTCTCTTCCATGATTGGTGCTATTTAGATCCATAAAATCAGCCCCTTCAATTTAAATCTGATCCGACCGATTCCTTGGATTTGGCCTGCGACTATAAACAATCCACGATTTTTGCCCATGACATGCTTCTTTTCTATCATGATGACACAAATGTTGACTAAACTCCTCCCTACTTAGTATATATTGCGACTATAAACAATCCACGATTTTTGCCCATGACATGCTTCTTTTCTATCATGATGACACAAATGTTGACTAAACTCCTCCCTACTTAGTATATATAGGCCAAAATCTTATATGCGCAAATGAAAAAATTGTATTATTTCCAATTCCTTCCAAACAATTTATAATACATTGACTATGAAACTTCAATTGTGATTTAAAAAAAATAAAAAAAATCATACTTGTACTTAGCATGAATACGCAATGGAGACTGAGTCTTGCTTCGTAATGTTAATTGCCGTGTATTACCAAAGGCACCCGAGTTTACAGCTGAAAAGTTGGTGGTCTTGGTACGATTACCTCCTGCAATACAACCTGAACAGTTAAAAATTACAACAGCATAAGGTCGCCACAATCTTTATCAGCATCATATTAGAAGCCAAATCAGCTTTGTAAATACAGAAATCTCGATAGAGATGAGAATTTGTGTGGGATTGTGTGACTAAAATAATTGGAGAAGAGCAGGAAATTAGACTAAATCAGGATTTAATCAATTAATTTACAAGTGAAAAAGAATGGCGTAGTAGAAAGCATGATAACGTATTACCGGCGAAAGAAACAGAAATTGTAGCGGCAGCCATCGAGATGAAATGAGAAAACACAAGCAATCAGAAACGAAACGACGAAAATGAGAGGGAGGTAGGGATTGGGTGGCGTTATTTACCGAGTCACCAGCAGCACAGTTAAAAGTTAAAACAGATTGAGGAATTTTTGGGGAAGATGTCAATTTTGAGAAATGATATAGGTATATCATACTGTAAATAGGAGTGTACATAACACTGACATACTAAAAATAAAAAATTAAGTGGACTCCACTTCATGTGAGTGTTATGTACACCTTTATGTACATTTATTATGTACTTGTAGCATTTTCCATGAATTTTTCCCGTCTCTCACAAAATCAATTTCTACTCATACAAACTTTACAGTTTACATTTTACACTATACGAATTTAGGCAAAGTCCATATTCAACCCGCATGTATTCAACATTTTCCGACCCAATCCGTTACCTGGTTATTGGCTTTCCGATTCGGGTCTGTTTTTACGTGACGGTTAATTGAGTCTCATCTCCATCGTGTAAACGGGTAATCCCAATTTATAAAATTAAAATTGTTTCATGTGTAGAAGAAAATAAAATTATTTTGTAATTAATTATAATATAACTAACAAGTTTTTAACTAAGATTGAACATAAAATAATTCTACAAAATATTCATCATGAGATTTAATAAAAATAAATTATATTCTATTTCATAATAGAATATTATAATAAAAATAAAGGTCAATTCTCTGTATAAAAATTTAATAGTAAATATCTAAAATGATGAAAATTTAAAAATGAGACTTTGCATAAGAATATAATATATACTGGTACAAAAAGTAGATTTTTTTTGGACTTTTCTACTCTTTTTTAATTGTAATTTTGAATATTTTGTATTCATATAATATACTAACGAAAGACGATTGTTTTTATACATAAAATTTTGTATGGATGATAAACTATTAGTGTTAGTTTGGTATTTATAATTAATCTAGAATATAAAACGCAAGTTGTAGTAAATAATCAATTTTTTTATTCTTAATAACGCATGTCATGACTACTTTTATATTTATGACTAGCTTAAATATATATACATGTGTGCTTGTGTGTGTCTATGTGTGTGTACTAATACGGTTGTACACGCAAAGTCGAGCCCAACTTAGATTTTATATTTTCTTTTACTTAATAAATGTAAGAATATTATATTCTTTTGTAATAAACTTTGAATCTACATTTTATTTTTTCTTTTAATTAATCAATGTAAGAAAAATTTATTTTTTATAATAAAAATTTTTATCATATACTGCAAGAAAAGAAGAATATATATATGACATGTATCTATATATATAATTGCTGGCTAATCCATAAATAAAACATTTATTAAAACATCTCTTCTTTTTCCCGCCCAAAAACCTCTTTTTTTTTTCAATTAATGTGGAATTGTTACATTATACATTAACAAAGTGTAATAATAATGTAAACTAATTTATTATGTAATAATTACTACTAATACTAATAATAAATTTACATTAAATAGTATGTGAAAGTTACATACTTATAAAAAATTGTATTGTAATTTTTTTTATTAAGATACTTATTCTATAATAAATATTATTTTTCATCTTATTAAGCGATTTTTCTCTAATATTAGTTAATTGACACGAGTGTTATAATTAAACTCCTTAAAATTACATAATTAATTACTATAACAACACTAAATAGTTGTAATACTTTTCTAACTAATTAATAGTATGATCCCTCTAAATTACAAAATTACATTGTTCATTAAAATTTATGTCATCAATATAAAGATTCACATGCAAGTTAAATAATTTATATTTATATTGTACATTTGTGTATATCAAAAATTTTACAATGTAATACATCCATTATCTAATTTAAAATTTTAAGTATTGTATATATACATATAATATATAAATTTTTATTTGTCTCTGTACATGTGCACAGGGACGAGTACTAGTTAAGAATGATCATCATGTACTAAATTAAATTTTGTAATTTAAGGGTGTCAAAGACTTTAAAATTGATTCAGGACTTCTAATACACATTTCCTGTGTTTGAAGTTTGGAAAAAAAAAATAAAAAAATTATTGTGTTTGAAGTACTTGTTATTGACAGCCACTTTGCGGGTACTAATATCTTTATGTTTCCATGATTGTGTTTAAAGTATTAACTTNATGGTATAGAAAAAAATGTATAATCTATTGTTATGTTTCCATGATTGTGTTTAAAGTATTAACTTTTTTTCAAATATAAAATAGGTTGTTTGGTATAGAAAAAAATGTATAATCGTTTTTATGTTTTAAACTAAAATATTTTGAAATTTTGATGATGCATTTGCCTATATCATAAATGTGATGAATCTATACAGACGCTCAGGCCTTTACATTGGGGAAAATTAATACTCCCTCATTTTTTTAATAAGTGTCGTTTTGAAAAGTTGCACGGTAATTAAGAATATTTTTTTTGTCAATAATAACCCTCATTAATGAGAATAGAGATTGATGTTTTGAAAAAAAAGATAAAGAGTGAATATAAAAAGACGTAGTGCATTTATTAGCTAGATAAAAAGTAATAATGAAAAAATATGTACAAAAGATTCAAAACATTATTTATTTGATTGATTATTGATAAAACCAAAATAACATTTATAAAAAAAATGAGTTACTACTTGTTAGTTGCTACTCAAATCCACCAGGGCTCAATTCAAGTGTAACTAACATCTTTCTTTTATATTTTACTTTTTGCAGTTGATGACAATATTGATTTTTGCTAGCCTGAAATTTTCTGCTGTGGGTGGTGAATTCTGGTGGCAACAGATTAGTTCTAAACTTTCTTTTTATTATATATTTATTAATGCAACTATCATTCTTTTGTGCTCATTGGTAACATTTATATACTTATATTATCTACTTTGAGATACTATCAGCATCCCAAAAGAGTATTTGTCTCAAAATTCTAGCCAATGGATATTTATAATGAATTTGTAGACCTTTTAAGTGTAGATATTGACAGAAACTGGAGGAAAATGGGTGCTGCCCACTACCATGAATGACACCATAAAAGAAGGGAAAAGCCCATATGAAGCCCAAATGGGGTTCCATCCCAAAACCAATTGGTGGAAGGAGGAGTAGCCCATTAGTCTTATAAGGTGCGTCTATTTTTCATATATGAACAATGTGGGACAACTCACAAGTGATATTCTAACACGCCCCCTCACTTGTGAGTCCTTCTAAAGCCCAAGCCCAACTGGACTGGGTGCCCAAGCCCTACTACAAACAGGCTCCATAAACGGGTACATGGGGGATAAACAATGGGTACGTCATCACACGGTCCAAGATAGAACCAGCTCTGATACCATGACAGAAACTGGGGGAAAATGGGTGCTGGCCCACTACCATGAAGGACACCATGAAAGAAGGAAAAAGCTCATATGAAGCCCAAATGGGGTTCTATCCCAAAAACAATTGGTGGAAGGAGGAGTAGCCCATTAGTCTTATAAGGTGGGTCTATTTTCTGTTGGAACACGCCGACGAGGCGGTCCTTCCCACGGATCGATATCGGATACCAAACATGTACATACATGATTTCGATTAAACCTAAGCATGCTCCTAAAGGACGAACAGAGATATACCTTTCTTTAAAGCTTTGATTCGATCTGAGCGATCTTCTAGTCTGTGTCCCGACCACATTTGGACGCCGGATGGACGACGATCCTCCAAACGGTTGAAAGAAGAAAACTGCCCACGTCTTTCTCGAACCCTTCTCGTTACTCTTTCCACGATGGTGGCTGGAGTGTCTCACGAAAATCTCTTAGGGTTTAGAACGTGGGAAGTCCCCTCTTTTTATAGAGGTCCTTGGGCCAGCCTAGGGATCTCTTAGAAGGTATAGGGTTTGGGCTTCCTACAGGCCCAAATTCTTATGTTCAGCCCAGAACACAATTTGGCCCGTAAATATTAATTCATTCCACTAGAGAATTAATATTGTACTCCCGTCCTATCCCGAAATGAATCAGGGCTTCTATTAGACTCGATATAATTCCCCGTGTTTAAGATATCGCACGTCCATTAATTATTAAAGCTTCTGACTGCTTTAATTAATTAATATCTTTTAATCCTTAAGTAGTACCACTCAACCTTATTATCGTACAGATTAAATCCACCTGCAGGGTTTATACGATAATCCTTATGAGTTCCTTAAGGGGACGTCACCAACCTGGATGTCCAGGACACGGTGCCCTAATGCCAATAAATAGATATCATGCAGATAGTGTTGTTACCCAAGATACGGAGCTATTGAACCAATACTTGGTCCTCACCCATGGTAAGTCAAAGTAACAAACAAATATCCCATATATCTAATTACCACAGTTAGGGTTAAGAATTAGTAGAGTCACCGAGACCTAGGTTCTTCATGATAGTCAGAACAGAAGAACACGTCTCAACTGTGATCCTTTCAATGCGACGCAGCGCACTAGTATAAACCAATAGCCAAGACAAGCTACATCCAGTTTATACTACAACCTACACCGATAGTCATGTCCATAACTATCTCAGTTGTGAATACCATTTATATCTTATAAGGAACCGACAATGCAATCTTCTGTGTGACTACTAACACACCACATTGTCTACAATATAAGATAATTGGACATTTAGCATACAAGCAATCATAAAGAATGCAACAATGTGAAAAACATTTATTTCAGTCAAATGGGAAATCGAATAATACAATCCAAAAGCTCACGTAAAAGTTTGCTTTACAGTATACTCCAACAATCTCCCACTTATACTAAAGCTAAACTTTTAGTATATAAACACATGCCATAACAATTCTCCCACTTATACTCAAAGTCTAGCTGCAACACATCGTAAACCAAGACCCTCTACGTGTTTCTCGAAGACATTGACAGTCAGAGTCTTCGTGAAAGGATCAGCTAGGTTATCCAACGATGCTATCTTTGTCACAACCACATCTCCTCGTTTCACGATCTCTCGTATAAGGTGGTACTTTCTCTCTA